CAGGGAAGAAAGGGGTGTGTGTGTGTGTGTGTGTGTGTGTTCAAACTACATTTTTTTCTGTATCAAAGAATATATGACATAGAGTCACATAGAAATGTGTTATATTTCTTACATAAGAATAGATTGAGCACCCTCAATATATTTGGAGGGTAGATCATTTATACTGCTCCCACAGAGGTACTCCAAAAAGCTAAGCAGAGAGAAGCTAGTTTCAAACTAGTGCTTGTTTAGTAACAAAACAAAACCAGGCAGCAGAATACAAAGTAACCTCTCCCCATCTAGGTGAGCCCAGCTCAGAGAAGCTCTCCCAAGTTGACCTGATTGTAAACATTAAACTGACGTCTTTATGTTGCAGGTAAAGGACCTGGATAATCGAGGCTTGTCAAGGACATAAATGATACGTCCAGCCTGATACGCTTCGCACTGAGTGCGTCACATTTAGGACGCTGAAGACATTTTTTACATATGCAGTTTATAAGAGGAGAGCATGATGGAATTAGAATTGTCTGAAAGTTTTGCCCTGGGCAGTATGGGCTGGGCCAAATGGAATGATTTTTTAAATTCTGAGGTTACCAAATGAAATGTCATGGCTTTACTTTGGTCAGTTAAAGGGGGAGTTTTTTTTTTAATGTGCCTTATTTGTTTCGACTTATGACTGATTTGAGGAAGGCAAAAGTTTATGCTGGGTTGATAGAAGGACAGAAAGCAAACCTCATCTATGCTTTTAGCTCCCTAAATGAGCTATGTACGGGCATTCTGTCTTTCTCAAATCAGGAAAACTGTCAAGGACTAGCTCAGATCCTACATATACAAACAATTTTGTTATTTCAAAACTTGCAGCACCTAGCACAATGCCTTGCACATAGTGGGTGCTCAATAAACTTTTATTGAACAAATGTTTATGGGACCAGAGGAGTGCCATTTCTAAGCAGGAAAGTCAGCTATGTTGCCATCATGTCTCTGTTCTCAACATATCTTGTCCTTAGAGGTTCTTTTACTTTATGAGGGAGAGAAGGTGGCTAACTAGACCTGATCTCAATATTCTTTGGACTCGCTATGTGGGGTGGTTTTTTATTTTTGTTTTTTGTTGTTGTTGTTTTTGAGCAGGAATAAATCAAGTGAGATTAAATTAGCAGTTTTGAAGATTCAAGACAGTGAAATTATTATTTTCATTCTCAATAGAGGAAGAAACTCCTCCAGCATTATGTATAGAACTTGATGGTCAGTAGGTGTTTTTTAATCAGCTGAAATGTCATGCATATCTATTTGAAATCCAGCTTTTCAGTACTCTCAACTTATCTATGATACAGCAAATGTTTCTTTGCTCATTTCCTTTAGCTTATGCACTAAAACTCATGTGGTTATTTAAAGGTGAGCTTCTTTATCCCTTAGTCTCAGCCTATTTGCTATTATGTACCACTAAGAATCTCAGTGATCTGGTTTTGAAATCCCTGCCAAATTACAAGTTAAAAGGAACAATTGCTATTAACAGGTACCTAAAGAGCAGTGCTAGCCTGTGTAGTAAAGGGGAAGAGAAACTTTAAAAAACTTTAACTTGTAGTAGTCCTATGGATCTTTAATGTCAGTCTTACATTCAATACAGTGGAACATTATGTATTTTACAACATAAGACATATATAAGTGATGTATAATAAATCCTAAGTCATTAAAAAAATACAAGGTAACTGTTTAGTGTTACCTGTTTAAGAAACAGGAGCAATCACGTGGCTTTTAGATAAGTCAAAATGGTGCTCCCAGAGGGTATGTGCAGATACACTTGTACACTCAGGAAACAGCCTTCCAAACCACTTTATATACCAAGTGCTTCAACCATGGGTGAGATGTAGATCTGATGTAAGATTTGATTTCTATATGTAAATACATGACTTGATTTATATACAGAATTACTCCCTAGTAGAAGAGGTTATTCTGAGATTTTATTTTTATTTTATTTTTTACCAAAATGAATAATACCAGTTAGAAATCATTAGTGGTCTTCCTCTGTAGTATGTATGGGATAACCCTTTAACTCACCACTATAGTTGCTGCTCTGATGATTTTAATTTTGTTATTTTCTATAGCCAACTTTTTAAAAATTTTTACTTTTCATTTTGTTATAATGCAATTAGTGTAAAAAAATCAAATTATTCTAAAAGCAACAACAGTGTTTTCCACTCCCCCAGAGGCATCCACTTTCAACTCTGCTGATTCTCACATTACTTACCTCCATCTCATTAAATAACTTGCTTTATTTTGCTGTGTTGGTTTTTTCAATATTGGGTATCCTTTGTTGACTTTCTGATGTGGAAGTTGAGGATTTAGCTCTTTTTCACCATCCTGCTATTCCCATGGACCACACATATTCTTACCATCTTAAGGTTCTATTATTAGTCATGACTAGGTTAGTTCAATTGTTTTTGCCTTATACTAGGCCAGGTGATATATACTGTTACTACTTCCCCCAACCCCACCCCCACATAACATTTTGGAGTTTTTCATTTGTTTTTGTGAACTTGTTCCTAATTTCTCCCCAAACTCTTGTCATTTGTGACTTTTAATAGGTTCAGACTTATTAGGTATTCACTCTTAGAGACGTCTTCGTTTTTGTATGTTCATTTGGTTTACTCTCAAGGTCTGTTACACATCTCTTCGGTTGGTGTATCCATCCTTTCACTGTCATATATGTTAATCCCCTGATTTTTTTCTTAATTGGTCACCTCTAACTACCTTCCTGAGAAAGTGTGTGGGAGATCAATTTCTTGAGATCTTGCATGTCTCACATCACACTTGATTAATAGGTTGGTTAGGTAGAGTTCTGGGTTGTGAATAACTTTTCCTTAGAATTATTTTGAAGGCATTGGCCCATTGTTTCTCTCTTCTAAATGCTGTTGTTTTTGTTTGTTTGTTTGTTTTTTTATATGTGTCCATTCCCTTTCACTCCCACCCCAGACCTTTTAGGATCTTCAGTGTAATGTTTTGAAATTTTCCCAATGTGTCTTGGAGTGGATCATCCATTGTACTGGGTACTTTAAACTTTTAAGTATGGAAAGTCAAGTTCTTTAGGTCTGGGAAATGTCCTTATTTGTGGATTTTCCTGAATTCTGTTTCTCTTTCTGAAAAACAAGTTATTTTGATGTTGGACTTCCTGGATTAGTCTCCCAATATTCTTATTGTTTTCTATCTTTATTCTTCCTTCTGGAAGATAGCCTAAATTTTTTTCTAATCTATTTAGATTCTTTTTTTTCTTTCATTTTTTAACGTCCAAGAGGTTTTGTTTGAATATTCCCGTGTTTTGACATCTTTCACATTAGAGCCCTTTTTAAATTCTAGGTTCTCTGCTCTTTTTAAGAGTGGGACCCTAAAAAGGTGATTGGAAGGTCTGTTTGGGGTGCGGTAGGGGAATTAGTGAATGTGGGCTTCATTCCTTTAATCTGGCTGAGCTGTGACATTAAGAAATTCCCAATATTGGTATCTTTAGAGTTTTTAAAAATATATAGCCAGCATCTCCTTGAAAAAGCTTGTATATCCTTTAAGGATAAAAACCTAATTGCCAGATTTCTGGAAGTGAAGTGGGGAAAGAAGGCTTAGAGATTCAACCTTCAATGCATAAATTTAATCCCTTTTTCAGTAAGGCACCCAAGCCTTTAACTGTGCCTGATATTCTCTTACCCTCTCAAGTCTTTTACCAGCTTTGGGGAGGAGCAGTTCTTTGAGTACACAGGAGGTAGAGGGTCCAAAGTTCTATTCGCTTCTTACCTGGTCTTTCAGTCTACCCTCCTTCTAGCCCCACTTTCACCTCCACATTCAGTTACCTACCATGTGTCACTAATTCAACTTGAGCCTTTTGGAAGTTCTGTGATGTAAATCAAGTTGTTTTTGCTTTCCCACTGTTGGCTTTAGGATTCATTTTTGTCATCTAAAGACTTGCCATTTGACAAAATCTTTTGTTTTTCATACTCTATATTGTGCTTTTTAAAGATTTACTATTGTTTCAAAATAGTAAATTTACTATTTTAATATTTACTATTAAATTTCACCATATGCTATTGTGTACATTCATTCTCCCGTATGCTATTTTTTTGTGTATTCTGCCTGAAATACATATACCTTTTTTTTTTCAGGCTAAGATACCATAATTCCATCCAGATACATAGGAACTGGGCAGGTCCTCCTCTTTCATATTCTTTGCAGCACACAGACCGTACACTAGAGAAAATGGAGTAAATGACCTGAAAACTTTATTAGATGAAGCCTAAATTGTGATGTCATGGTTAAAAACTCGCATAAGCATCTTAAAATGCTCCGATCTTGTTCTAAAACAGATGTGTGTGTTTTTATGTAACATTTTACACATATTTTACTCCAGGCTAGTTATGTTCAATGTCTGTGGCCCAGTTTTAAGAACTGGAGAACTTAAAAGATGATCTTACCTGCGCCTGGAGTTCTAAGGATAGTTCACTGTCAAGGGGGAATACCTATTTAAGTTTTCCACATTATTTTGTCCTCAAGCAGGTCCCTTTCCCCACAATTTACTTTCTTATTTAAACTGGTCACTTTTTAAATTTGTATTGTAAAATGAAGGAAAACAGCCTTACCTGCCTGTTTCTTCCACATTAAGAATAAGATGGCAGGTAGGACTAAGCTAAACAAAAGTTCTTCCTTCAAGAAAGAAGGTGGAGCTAAGGTACTGTTTGGGAGCTGGTTCAGACAAGCCAGGGCAAAACTGGTCATCCCGACTCTACCTCAAACTGCAAGTGGAGCTTCCCTCCGGATGCCTTCCCAACCATTTACCGAGGGGCCAAGCTGCCCGCTCCCCGCAGAGTTCCCTTCGTCCTTCCCAAGACCGGTTCTCAGTAGCTGTCCCCACCCAGCTCATCGGTGACAGCCTGAACGTGACCCTCACAGTCCTGTCCCGCAGCTGGCAGGTGCTCGGAGACGCCAAGTCCCCAGCGGCGTCGCGCGCGCGCGCTGGTCCTTCAGGGCTTCGGCGCCGCCCGGGACTACGACGCGTTTGGGCTCAGAGAACTTTCGCGCGGGTGCGCTCTGCAGCCAAGATCTCGTTCCGACTCCACAGTAGCTCCGCCGCGCTGTCTGAAGCCTCGGGGACTGAACGGCCACCCTTCCGAGCTTCGGAAGGGTGGAAAGCGCGCTTCCCTGCTTTACGGCAAGGGCGCGCGCGTTTGCGACAGTGTGACGCTAGCCAGTTTTGGCGGGAAAAGTGCTGCATTTGGATTCCTGTGGTGGCGGGCAGAGGACGGCCTGGTGAGGAAGGTGGCGGCCAGGGTGGGAAGGGAGTCGGGAGAGTTCAGGGTCTGCATTAGCTAGGAGGGGTACGGCGAGGGGTTCGGAGAGACTCCCGCGGACGGGTGGCTCCAGAGGGCGGTAGAGGGTGGTAGGCTGGTCCCTGTGGTGGAGGGACTGCAGAGACCACCCCTCTGTTAGTCTGCGTGCCACGGGCCCTTTCTTCCGCCTCTCGGGGCAGTTTGGCTCCGCCCCGGGCTCCTCCCGGCCTCGGGGACGCGGTGGGAGTGCGGAGAAGGGGCTGCGGTGGTCGTAGTTACATTTCTCCTCACCCTCTGACCCAAAGCGTCACCTCTCACCCCTTCCCCACATCCACCGGGAGGCGTTGTTTGCCCCAACCCCTCATCACAGCTGTTACATTCCCTCCGAGGCCGAGGAGGGCAGCGTTTCAGCCTTCCGCGTGCGTGGGAATGGGAATGGAGATTTACAGAACCAAATGCTAGAATTCAGAATACTTGCGTGTGGTTTAGATGTGGATAAAATATGGATGATGAGGTGTCAGGGAAACAAGAACTGTTATTTATATTGAGGACTCATGGCAAGAAGCAGAGTTCAGTAGCTTCGCAGATGATTGAAGCTTGTACTCTTGCCCCATCTTTTCTGGATCCTGCCTTCTACAGCCGTGGTACACAGTGGAGTCATGGCAGTGCCCTTTGTGGAAGACTGGGACTTGGTGCAAACCCTGGGAGAAGGTGCCTATGGAGAGTGAGTTTGAGTCCTTTTACCCTGCTTTCACACTTGGTTTTTTTCCCTGTCGCCTTGAGTACATATCCGTTGTTTTGGAGTTGTTTATTTTAATACAGTGGGGCCTTAGAAAACATCTCAGCATTTGAAACTAAGATTTTGGGGAACTGAAGCTATATAGTCTTTTGTAAGGATTATTTTTCTTTATTTCTTTTTTTTTTTTCTTTTTCTTTTTCATTTTCTTGTAAAGAGCTGGAAGAGACCCCTGAAGTCAGTTTCTCCTCCAACATATTCTTTCTTGGGGTTTAAGCGTAGTAGTTAAATGAATAGACTCCAGTCAAACTGCCTGGTTGTGTAATCAGTCTGCTACATACTGAAACTGTTTTGGTCTTAGGCAAGCTTCTTAATGTCGTTGTGTGCCTCATTTTCAGCTGTAAGATGACAATAATACTACTTACACCATAGGTGTCTAGAACAGTTACCACGGACATATATAGTATCAGATTAATAAATGTTAGGTCATGTTATTAAAATTAAATGAATAAGGCATGTGTTTATGTGATGTGGCCTAGAATTGCTATTATCTCATTCTAATTTATTTTCTCAAGTATTTATTAAATGACTTTGATTGTACAGCATAATGGCTTCTTTGGAACATTAGTACTTTAGTACACATTTAGTACACATTTCAGAAAGGAGTAGTACCTATTGAGAACATGGCAGACACTATTTCCATAGTTTCTCCTTGGTAGAGAAAGTAATAAAGGTAAAATAGTTTTGGATGGGTCATGTTTAATCTTTTAAAGTTTTAAAATGAACAGAATTAAAATATCTAGAATGTTATAACTTTTCCTTTTTTCTTTTAGAGTTCAACTTGCTGTGAATAGAAGAACTGAAGAAGCAGTTGCAGTGAAGATTGTAGACATGAAGCGTGCCATAGACTGTCCAGAAAATATTAAGAAAGAGATCTGTATCAATAAAATGTTAAATCATGAAAATGTAGTGAAATTTTATGGTCACAGGAGAGAAGGCAATATTCAATACCTATTTCTGGAGTATTGTAGTGGGGGAGAACTTTTTGACCGAATAGGTATGGAAAAAATTTAAGATAATTATTGTACTAAACAAGTTTCTAAATTTGTTTTTTAATTTTGGGCTCACCATTCGGTCATTGTCCATTCAAGAACTGCTGATGCAAAAGAGAAATTAGAGTAAACTTTTTTGTTTTTGCAACTTATATTAACGCATGAAGCATATGTAGAATCATCAAAGAAGAGTTTTTTTTTAAGTTGTATAAATGATTTTGGTTGGTATGCTGTTTTATAGAATTTAAGAATGATAAACTAATCTCATCGTATAGTATAAGTGTAATGCATTTGTTTGTACAATTTGTATGTAGACATTCTAGTTACGTGAAATTATTGCATACATTTACAGATCCAAAATAATAGCATGTTATGTTTTTCATCTTTATTTGGTTAAGTGAAATACTTTAGAATTTCCTAGGATTGCTTGATGTATATTAAATAAATTCTGTTTCTGCTCTTAAATGTTCTATGTAGATTCAGAGGCTTGATGTTACAGAACACTAGAAGTACATAAAATATATTCTGTGGATCTAAATTTATTATTTAAAGCCATTGTAATAACAGTTCAAACTGATTATTAGAACCTCCAATATGTGTCTTAAGAGAGAGTTGACTGTAAAAGAAATCAAGAGTTAATGAGGAAGATTGAGATATGAAAAGATAACTGACAAGAGAACATTTCTTAAAACTTTCCTGAAGGAACTTCACAGGCATTCATGACTTTGTAGTATGAGAGGTTATATGACATATAATCTGTTGTTAAATATTTAGTGAAATCAGATGTGCCCAAGCTTCCACTTTGGCAATTACATTTCAGGAGTGAGAAAACTATTGGCATAACATTTTGAAGAAATTGAAAGCTATCAAATAATGGTTAGTATAAGATAAGCAGAGGCTTTTCAAGTTATGGCTTGCATTCTTGATTCGGATGATAGTTTGTTATTTCTCTCTGTAATGATGTTAACTTATTTTGCCACATAACAGATGGGGAAATGTGAGTTATTAAGTGCTATATGTATTAGTGGACACAAGAGTCTTTTAATTGTTAACATAAGATTCTGTTTGTTAAAGTACAATCACAAATGTTTAGCCTTAGAATTGAGAAACAATGCTGTCGATGCCTGGTTATATTTAACTGGTAAACTAACTTTCATAATTAATTCTTATAGAGCCAGACATAGGCATGCCTGAACAAGATGCTCAGAGGTTCTTCCATCAACTCATGGCAGGGGTGGTAGGTAAAGTTGTCTCTTTGACTTTTATTTAAAATTAGTATGAATGAAATAAATTACTAAATTCCGGTATGCTTCCCTTCGCTTTTTCTTCTTAGATTTATCTGCATGGTATTGGAATAACTCACAGGGATATTAAGCCAGAAAATCTCCTGTTGGATGAAAGGGGTAAGTTTAGCATTTTGTCACTGCTACCTAAATTATTTTAATACAGCCAGCCATACAAAGCTGCTTGAAGGTTTCTGCATTACTGAAATTACAGGACAAAATATCTAAAAAGTCTAGAAAATTTGGGAGACTTATAGGAAATTTGGGAGATATAGGCTTCACAAGTCTTTAATGATATAGTTGTGGATGAGATAGAAATCTGAGCTAGATACAAGAGTAGTTCATTAGATGAATACTACATATGTATAGTGTTAAACAACTCTTTAATGAATTAATAAAGGAAAGTTTCTGTTAGGATAGCCTGGACTTTAGCTTTGTCTTGTTTGTACTTTTAAATCTATGACTTGGATAAATATGCAAGGAGTTTAGTTATATTTTATGGATGTTATAAAAACTAAGAGGGATAGATAGTGAAAGTGTTAGCTTATAGAATCAGGATCAAAAAAGATGACAGATGTTAGCTGCATGGGGTAGTGATTTTTGTCTGTTTTGTTTAATGCATTAGAATTAGTGCCTGGCAAATAGTAGGTTTTCAAAAATATTTATTGAATGAACAAATTTAGCAGACCAGAGAAGTGAGTCAGATTTAACAAGTTGTTTTCCAGTAAGGAAAAATCTACAGTCCAGTATTTGAATTGAAAAACTAACCAAATAAGTATAGTTGAATGGTATATCTTTGGTAGCAAAGCAGGTTAAAAAAGACTTTTACTAGGCAGCAAACTTCATAATAGTCACCAATGTAATTTGGTCATTAGATAAGTAAGGTCATGTTATTGAGAATGAGGGAGGTAGCAGTCCAACAGTTCTCTGATGAGGCCACACTGGAAATAATGGGTATCCTGATCCTGGGACAATACTGTAAAAGGCATGTAGAACACTAAAATACTTTTATAGGAGAGTGACCAGGATGATGAAAGGGCTAGAAATTATGTAAAATAAGGAATAATTGAAGGAACTTGGGAAACCTGCTGATTGTTAAATAACAATTCTTCAGAACACTTGGTGAAACTATACAGAAGCAATTTGGATTAGTGTCATGATGATCTCCATTAAAAGGTCTAAAGCTGAATAGATTGCTTTGGAAAATAGTGAGTTTATAACATAAGAGTCAAACACTGGATTATTAATTATCAGAGACATTATAAAGGAAATTTAAACATTGATTGGATAGTTGGACTAAAGTATTTAAGATCTTGTTCAACCTTAAAGTTTAGTGTTTCTGGCAATGTTGTACCCCATGACAAGTAACAATGTACTGTCTTACCAGCCTCCTTCTAACTTCTTTCTGAACTCTATAATTGACTATACACAGGGATAAATTAAGAAACGCTAGCTTATATAAATAATGGAGATGCGAATATGTAGTAATATCTGGAATATGAAAACTTTGTTCCCAAACTTAAAATATTGTTTTTTCCTCTTTATAAAATAAAAGATGATCATAAAATAAGATCAAAAGTGTAAAGAAGAAGGTAAAAAATCATGGAAACACACCAGTCAGTTACAACCACTGTTTAATGTTTTGGTGAATTATCTTTTAGATATCCTTTTATTGACTCATCTACTAACCTAGCTACATAAGATCCTCCCTTGGTTATTTAGCCTTCTACAAGTTGCATCCAGCAAAATTTTAGATATTCAGAAAATTAATGTACGGGGAAAAAGGAACTATAGAATTACCTATTCATGAAACCTGAAAAACGAGCACAAGCTGGGAGAATTCCTTTTGCTTCTGTTTTTCATTCCATTCCCATTACTCTTTGAATGCTAACAGCCTTGATAGTATTACAGTCAATTCTCCTTTTTCCTCATCTACAAATTAAATCCTTTTTTGATTAAATGCACGTTTCAAGCTATACGTAATCCTCTGGAAAAGAAGGATTCCATGTCTCTAAATATGAAAGGCAGTATAGCACTGTTAAGAGCTTGAGCTTTAGAGTCATTTGAACCTACGTTTAGTCTAGGCTGCTTCATAGTAGGCATGTGGCCTCGGGTAAGTTGCTTAACTTCTTTCTGTCTCTCTTTCCTCATCCATAAAATGGAAATAGTAAGAGAATCTACTTGAGTTGTGAGTATGAAGGAGATTTATATAAACACCTGTGTACCCACCTGCCTTAAAAAATAAAACATTACACGTATATGCACTGCTCACAGCAGTGGTGTTTATAATAGCAAAAACTAGAAACAACCCTAAATGTCTATCAACAAGAGAACAGATAATTATGAAATGGATGATTTATAGCTACAAGTACGGACATGGATGAATTTCTGGAATATGATATAGAGCAAAAAAAGAAGGTTGCAAAAGAATTCATACAAGAATTCTATTTATATGAAGTTTAAACCAAATATATTGTTTAGAGATACAAACATGGGGGAGAAATCACAAAAGAAGGGACATAATAAAACTTAGAATGGTGGTTATTTCTGAGAAGGGAATGAAGAGAATATATTTAGAGAGGTATTTATAGGAGATTTCAAAGGAAATAGAATGTTCTTAACTGGGTGTTGGATGGGTGGATGTTCATTGTATTGTTCTTCATATCTTGCATATTATTTAAACTTTGTTTTTATTCAATAATAATAATCTTTAAAAAAAGAAATAAAACATTATCGGTATAGTTGAAGTCCTTTTGTGTATTCCCTCACAGATGTATTTCCCTTTCTTTTTCTCAGAAGTAACCACTGTCCTCAATTTAAAATTTGTTATATGCAGTTCTCTAATCTGAGTATTATGTTGAAGACATTATGAAACAACAAAATCCAAGGAATACTATGGTCATCTATTAATATGTTCATTGATTACTACTTATAAATAACTTAAAACTCTTAATCTCAGTGGTTTGTCAAGATCGTGTCACATATAGATATTAAAAGGCTAATTATAGTAGCTACCGTCATATACAGGTAAACATTATCAATGGCTTACATATTATATTGCGCAGATGTGATTGATTTTTAAAGAATTAATTTCTTCTTTTGGGACAGTTAAGTTGCTCAGTGATGACTGTTTTATAAATTTGTGCACAGACTCAATATAAAAATTTGATCATGTTATAATATTTGTTATGACACTTGCCTTTTTTTATTTTAACTTATATCTGCTTCCGTGTTGGTACATATAGATATACCTTTTTTTAAACAATAACCTACATAGTTTCATTGTGTAAATGAATTATAAGATTTAATCATTTCTTTATTAATGGACATTTAAGTTATTTACAAATAATATTGCTATGAATATCCTTATGTTTGTGAATTTGTTGGAGTATATCTGTGGCTGTGGTCCTAGAAGTAGAAATTGCTAGTTCAAAGAGTGTGTAAATATTTCAAATTTTGGCATTTTTTGCCATATTGCCCTCTAAAAAGGTTGATAATAGGGAATCTTCCTTATTAACTAAGACCAAGTTAGATTCCCTTGCTGTAAGAACTTGTAATGCTCTGTATTTTTATAACCTTCACAACAGTTGTCTGTTGTTAGTCTTTTTCCATAATTTATCCACCTACATTGGCTAGCACAGTATCACTCAGTTACAGTAGACTTTCGCCAAGTATAAGTTAGTTGAAAGCTCTGCCTGCAATTTGTTCATGTTGAAGGTAGGAAGTTAGAGTGGAAATTTGCTTTTCTGATTTATTTCTTTGACAAGTTTCTTCCTCCTTTTCTAAAGTTAGCCACTTTGACAACAAGTTCTGGTGGTGTGTGGACTTTAGTTTTATTGTGTGTCTTTACATATTTTCTTCCTGCCAACAGGATTTGTTTGCTGCTGGGAAAGCTGTAGCTAATATATTATTGATGTCTCCTTTCTGCCCCCTGCACAACTCACTGAAGGGCTTGGCTCTTTCAGCCTAAGTTTGGAATGCCCTTTTCCATAAGGGCAGCCCCTTGTGACTTCACTATCTTTCTTTAACCTGGTCCAAACTGTTTAGTGTATTGATGATATTTCTCTGAAATTAATAGAAGTGATGAGGCCTTTTTCTAATTTTAGCTAGATGATAATGTCTTTTATTCTTTAAAAAAAATTTTTTTGGTCATTTTAAAGTAGAGAAGTTCTACAAACCATAAATAACACCAGTGACTTTCTTTTAAAAAACTTGATTTCTTTAAGTATATCTAGTTACAAAACATTTTTAACTAGTATTATCTTTTTTTCCTTTGGGTTAGATAACCTCAAAATCTCTGACTTTGGCTTGGCAACAGTGTTTCGGCATAATAATCGTGAGCGTTTATTGAACAAGATGTGTGGTACTTTACCTTATGTTGCTCCAGAACTTCTAAAGAGGAAAGAATTTCATGCAGAACCAGTTGATGTTTGGTCCTGTGGAATAGTACTTACTGCAATGTTGGCTGGAGGTAAGAGCTTTTTAACCATGATAAAACTGACCTGTGGAAAGCCAGATTTGTTATACCAAAATAAATGAAATAAACCAAAAGAATCCATTTTTATAAGATAGCATTTTAATAGTAGCTTATTTATAAATAAATTAGAACTTTTAATCCCAAAGATTATATAGCTATTAAATGAAATACCACAATATCTCTTGCTTTTAAGATTCATGTGAATACTTTTGGAAAGTTGGGCAGGAAATGGTTTATGGATCTTTGAGTGCCTCTAAAGGTTTTGTGAGTTGGTATTCTTAGTTTAAAAACCATATTGAGAGGAGAAAAAAAATGGCATAGATTATAGAGGCTCTGTTCATCCCTCTGGCAACGAAATCAAAGTTGTGATGGAAATAAAGAGCAGCAGCGAGGAGTAATCGCCTAGGATCTAGAGGAACAAGCCATACAAGTAGGGAGAAGTCCAAGAAAACACCCTGCAATGGCAGAAGGTAGGATGGGGTGAAGGTGCTGAGCTGCCTATTCCCTAACAGATGAGTGAGACGGAGGCTGTGGTAGTGGCAGAAGCCTCTTAAAGGGGCCGAGTCCGCGAGTGGATTTTCGTGGTGACGGACCTGCTCACTCTGAGCACCAGTGCCAATTCAGCTGCGTGCAGGGGGCACCAGGGACTCACAAGGAGACATTGTCAGAGGGAAGGCCATGGCGAGACTCGC